TTGATTCAGTTAGGCGTTCTCTTGCAGTTTCTGGGTCAGGATCCTGGACCGATACCTTGCCGCTGTTGTGCTCGATGTGGTTTCTGCTGTGGGAAGGGCTTCCGTTTTTTATTTGGTTTGCTGTTGCTTGAGTCTGTTTATTTAAGTATTTTTGGTATGGGCTCTTTGCCTGAGTTTGTTTGTGTTTTTTGGTCTTGTATTTTAGGTTTGGGCCGTTGGCCCCGGTACTGATTCCCCTGTGGGGGGCGTTTCTATTCTCCTGTGGGGAGCGTTCGTAGTTGGCGTGTTGGTGTTTTTGAGTTGTGTGTAGTGTGTCCTCTATTCTAGCGTGGCTAGCGAGGTTCTAGGCGGTCTTTCGATCCGTCCTCTCAATTTTTAGTTCATGGTTGTATTATTCAGCCTTGGGCTGCTTGTTTTGCACAGTTGTGAGTTTTGATATATAATACCTCTATCGTTTCGGCAAAAAAAAAAAAAAAAAAAATTGAAACCCTAAATTCGAAAATGCACAAAATACTGAAACCCTAATTTCAAAATCTGCCTCGACAAATAACAAACCATAATTTCAAAAATCAAAAATTTCAGACCAATTTCAACTCTAATCTATACCAATCTCAGATCTACCAAACAAATAAAAACCAATTAGCAAAAGCCCTATCGAAATTCAATGAAGGTTTGGAAAAATTACCTTATATTTCTTCAAAAAAAAAAAACGCGTGCGTAATTATATTTCTTCAAGCAAAAACCCTAGGTAGTCGAATTTCAGCCCTAAGCGAGCATGTTTCTGAGGTTTAGATTGCGAAGAATAGGCTAAGAATTATTTTGAGGTTTGGATTGCGTAAAAACTTCTGAGGTTTGGATTTCTGAGGTTCGATCGCGAAGAGAGAGAGAGAAAATTTTTCTGAGTGTAATTTCGTTTTGAAGAGTGAGAGAGAGATTTTTTTAGACTGACTGTAATTGTTTGTTTCTGAGGGCATAACGAAAAGTTAAGCAAAAAATTAACGAGGTTAACACGGAAACGAGGAGGGGGAGCGTGCGCAATCAAAAGTATAATACAAGGGGTATGACTGCAATTTTTAAAATACACAAAGATAACGCGCAGATTTTGTATAATACAGGAGAGTTTGACGCAATTTAGCCGTCTTTTCTTCTTTAAAAAATTCGGTCATGAAAATAATTATTTATTTATTTAATGATAGGCCACCTGTATTTTGGACGATCCATCCCCAGTTGAGTTGACAGAAACCAATAAAAGTTATTAATGCCCACCTCAGGGTCAGATCTCTCTCTCCCCAAAACTTCGACATAATAATAATAATAATCAAGAAAACAGATACTACTACTGCAACATCTAGTTTTCATTTTTTGTATGTATGTATTTTCCTCATCCAAAATTCAGGACCCATATCTTCAAATTGAACCCCACTTCAGTCTTAGCCGAAAACTTTAATCTTCAATTCCTCATACCTACAATTCTAGCTCTGACTGGTATTTATGTATGTACACTGTACCATTCAGCTACCTCTCTTCTTCCTTCATTTATTGGCTTTTATTGCATATTATATGAGTTCTTCTGCTCATAAAGATTTACTGTTTATTTTATAGCCTTATTATTGTCTAGTCTGCAGTCTGCAATGGGAAACTAGCTGTAGCCTGCTGCCAATTTTCTCGTGGTCTATTGTCAAGTGGCTCGGGTTTTTTTTTTTTTTTTCCTTTTTTTTTTTGTGGAATATGGATGAGCGATTTCCAATTTGATTTCATTGGTAAATCATCCATCCTTGCGGATAGTTTTTAACATCATAAAGGTGGAACCTTTTTTATTTTCCTGTCCAAAAATCCTACTTTTATCATATTTAATGGTTCGATTAGGTCTCAAAAAAAAAAAAAATTGTCTTTGAGCCTTGAGGAGCTTCTATGGTTGGATTTTTCATGCTTTGTTTGTTTGGTTTTGCAGTTTGGCAATTGTGTTATTTCATGAAATACTGTCAGAAGTAAGCGAGGAATTTGAATTCCTGAGGTTTCAAATGTGAGCTTTTCATCCCAGGAATATTTGGTAGCCCAGTAGTGGTAAGACATTTCTCTTAAAAGGAGAAAGTATTTGAAGGTTGTGAGATAGGGAAATTGAGCAATTCATTCTTCCATTTGATAGGCTTTATGTAAACTTATAAGATCTTGATTATAACTCTCTCTCTCTCTCTCTCTCTCTCTCTCTCTCTCTCTCTCTCTCTCTCACAGGTCACGATCCCCAGATATCATAGCGCTCAACTTTTGAATATATTCCTTTGTGTGGTTAATGGGAAATTGGAGTTTATTGCTCATCATCCTTCTGCTTTTTCTTGAAACATGCTCCTCAAGTGTGCAACAAATCGGAAAACTGAACCCCGGATTCAAAGGATCCCAAATGTTCTTCATAGACAACGATGGCTTATTCCTCGTGTCCAACAATTCCAACTTCGGTTTCGGTTTCACCACCACCCCCACCGACGTCACTTTGTTTTTGCTTGTCGTCATCCACAAACTCAGCTCCACTGTAATTTGGTCTGCCAACAGAGGCTCCTTTATCCGTAACTCGGACAATTTCCAGTTCGACACCTCCGGAAATGCTTACTTACTCAGCGGCAGGTCCACCATCTGGTCCACCAACACCCCCAACAGAGGAGTTTCTGCCATGGAGTTGCAAGATTCTGGGAATCTTGTTCTGGTTGGTGATGACAACAGCATTATCTGGCAGAGCTTTAGCCATCCCACCGACACTCTCGTGTCGAACCAGGAGTTTTCCGAGGGGATGAAGCTAGTGAGCGACTCCGGCTCGAATAACTTGAGCTACTCCCTCGAGATTACATCCGGTGACATGATTCTTTCCGCAAATTTCAAGCCTCCACAGCCTTACTGGTCCATGAGCAGCGACACACGGATAACCATCAATAAAGATGGAGGGCCGGTGACCTCCGCTGTCCTCACCGCCAATTCTTGGAAATTTTACGATTCCAACAAAGAACTGCTCTGGCAGTTCATTTTCACCGATGGCGGCGCTGCTGATAACTCCACGTGGGCAGCATCTTTAGGGAGTGATGGTTTCGTAACATTTACGATGCTTCTCGATTCTTCCCCGACTCAGTCCTCGACGAGGATACCTCGGGATGAGTGCAGTAGACCCGCAGCATGTGATCCTTACTACGCATGTTACCCTGGGAATAAATGCCAGTGCCCGTCGGGTTTTCCCTCCTGCAAGTCCATGGCCGCCGCCTCATGTGGCGGCGATCTCGTGAGCGGTGGTGAGGGGCTCGGCTACTTTGCGCTGAAATTCGTTCGCCCCTTTTCGAAAACCACTCTGGACAGTTGTAAGTCTTCCTGCATAGGGAACTGCTCATGTGGGGCCATGTTTTTCGACCCGACCTCTGGGAACTGCTTTCTTTTCAACGAGATAGGAAGCATGGTGGCGTCCTCCACCGGCTATGCCTCCTACATAAAAATCTCCACCACCGGCAGCGGAGGCGGCGGAGGAGGGGCAAGCGGCGGTAAACACTTTCCAGTGGTGGTTGTCGTGATTGTGATCCTCACAGTGTTCGTCATATCCGGTTTGCTTTTCGCTGGGTTCCATTTTTTCTTCAAGAAGAACAAAAAAAATGTGCCAGAGAGTCCGAAAGAGAGCTCGGACGAGGATAACTTCCTGGACAGCCTGTCGGGGATGCCCATTCGCTTCAGCTACAGGGACCTCCAAGAGGCGACCCGCAACTTCTCGGTGAAGCTCGGGCAGGGAGGGTTTGGGTCCGTTTATCAAGGAACCCTGCACGACGGGACCCGCCTGGCTGTCAAGAAGCTGGAAGGCATTGGACAAGGGAAGAAGGAGTTTCGGGCAGAGGTCAGCATCATCGGCAGCATCCACCACGTCCATCTTGTTCGCCTCAGGGGCTTCTGCGCCGAGGGCAGCCATCGCCTTCTTGCGTACGAGTACATGGCAAACGGGTCTTTGGACAAGTGGCTATTCCGTAAGGACAAAGAAGGAGTCTTGCTACTCGACTGGGACACGAGATACAACATAGCCGTGGGGACCGCTAAGGGCCTTGCCTACCTCCACGAGGATTGCGACGTGAAAATAGTCCACTGCGACATTAAGCCCGAGAATGTGCTTTTGGACGACCACTTCATGGCTAAAGTGTCTGATTTTGGGCTCGCGAAGCTCATGACTAGGGAGCAGAGCCATGTGTTCACAACTATGAGGGGCACGAGAGGGTACCTTGCACCCGAGTGGATCACAAACTATGCCATATCCGAGAAAAGCGATGTCTACAGCTACGGTATGGTATTGCTTGAATTGATAGGTGGACGGAAAAACTACGACCCAACAGAAAGATCTGAAAAATCGCATTTCCCGTCGTATGCGGTTAAAATGTTGGAGGAAGGGAAAATAAGGGATATAATAGATGCGAAGATGAGGGTGGAGGAGGAGGACGAGAGGGTGGGCATAGCGATAAAGGTGGCACTTTGGTGCGTGCAGGATGACATGTATCTGAGGCCACCGATGACTAAAGTGGTGCAGATGCTGGAGGGGCTCAGCCCAGTGCCACCGCCACCCACGACGAGTCAGCTGGGTTTGAAGCTGTATTCGAGCTTCTTTAGGTCGTTAAGCGAGGAGGGGACCTCTTCGGGGCCATCCGATTGTAACAGTGATGCATATCTATCAGCCGTTCGCCTTTCGGGTCCAAGATGACAGCTTGTTTTTTGGTGATGTGAAAGAGTATTGTGATTGGATCTTAGGCTTTTGAAGATTTTTTTTTTTCTCCTTTTCTTTTTTGTTTTCCAAAAAACACTTGTACAAGGGTGATGAGTTTTTGTGGGTTCATTCTGTAAATTTGATAGACTAATAGCATAAAATTTTGTTAACATAAGTTGTTATGAAGCTAATAGTATATCATGTTGCACTGGAATTCTTGATCTGCAAATTTTTTATTTATTTATTTTTTTTTTCTATAATTAAGCCAATCGACACAATCCTCTTAATCAACAACGTTTTTTGTGTCCCCATTTTGATCATTTTCCTTGAACTTTTGGATGGTTGATAACAATGATAAGTACATCTTCAAGCTTTGAAATACAAAAGAAAAAAAGGCATCTTTGCCAATCCCTACAGCCTACACTAAATTACTAATCAACACACATTTAATTGATTATAGGCATACATTTTTTCATAAATATACATACTAGCATTAAAATATATTACTCAACAAAAATAATAGGATATTTTTGTGCACATGAAGATAGACTGAATGTCTCATTTATCTATTTATATCTGTACTACTACAAAAGACGAGTGTTTTTGTAAAAAAAAAAAAAAATGAACTACTTAAAACTCTCTTACTTTGACATAATTTTTTTTTTCGGTACAAACTTTGACATAATTTTAATGACAAATCAGTAATACACTAATACACATCATATTTAATACTTTTAATTATAAAAATAAACTATCTAAAAAACTCTTACTTAGATATGTTTTTAATGGCAAATCAGTAATATACTAATATCTATCATATCTTATATTTTTATTTAATAACTAATACTTAATTAATTAAATAGAAATACATTAACAAATCCTTCCACACTCCTAAAATCAACTATAATATGTTGACACCATTATTTCTCACGAATTTGTTTTCTACCACATATCTTTAATTTTTTTTTTCATATCTCCCCAACCCGAGCAACAAATCTTTAAAAAGATATAGAATTGTTGTTTTGAAAAACGTCATTATTTTTAATATAATTTTAATAGTAAGATTGTAATCACATTTCATATTTCTGATATATAAAAGTTCTTTAAAGAAAATTGATCCAACAAAAAAAGCATAATAAACACTTATAAAACTAGCAATTGATATTGTTTTTTCTCATAACGACCACAAAGTATAGTAACATTATTTTCAGACTCACCTATAAAAAATGTGTAATAGTATGCGAGAGTAATTGTTGAATGACTGTATTTTCTGATCTATTCAATTTTTTTGCTACATAAGATCAGAACAATTTTATGAAATTGTATAATACTAAAACTTAATCTATTGTTTTCATGTCGAATGAGATACCACTTGAACAACATCTACAACTTAATTAAGAATATATGGAAAATCTTGATATGCCTACATGTAACAATCAATTAAATTTTATCCCAAAAAAAAAAAAAAAACTCACTCACTCAACTGCCAAGGTGAAGGTGATCGCAATCCTTGAAGGTTTATCTCCAGGCTCGGAGGTGTACAACTCTTATATGTTACTCGGACTCGCAAGAGGCACTCTGGTTGATTAACACGACATCTGTAACTAATCATGTTATGGGGGGTCTGATCATGAACATTAAGGACAAGAGTAGCTCGATCGAGAATATTCGATTTTTCTACATTTGGAGAGAGGGAAATTCCGTTGCCGATCTTTTGGTGAGGAGAGGAGCCAAGGAGGAAGCTTTCTTCACTACT